AAGACTACTGTTTTAGGATTCCACTCAGAAAGAGCTCCGGTCAGTATGTGATGATTTTTTTTCTCATGAATCTTAAGATGAAATAAACATAAACACAGCTCTCACCTCAGGGGGGATAAATAATTGTGTTCTGGAGCTAAGTGTGCATGAACATGGCCCAGGAGCATATACTGAGGTCATCCTAAGTACCGTGTTCCATCATGATAACAATTCCATGGTTTTTATAGCGAAAGAACAAAGGAAATTATAAATCAGGACACTTTAAAGATAGCAGGGGAGCTGGGCGGTGGTGGCGCATGCCTTTAATCCCAGCACTCGGGAGGCAGAGCCAGGCGGATCTCTGTGAGTTCAAGGCCAGGCTGGGCTACCAAGTGAGCTCCAGGAAAGGCGCAAAGCTACGCAGAGAAACCCTGTCTCAAAACAACAACAACAACAACAACAACAACAACAACAACAACAAAAAGATAGCAGGGGAAGCATCATGCAGGTGCATTACAGCTTAGAGGGTACATGCTTTTCATAGACCTGTTCCGATTAGTTATTCAACCTTAGAGAATGCTTACTGTGGGTGTGGTTTTTCTCTGCGAACTTTTGTTAACATATCAGAAGAGTGTGGACTTTTATATCCTGTATTTACCAATGAATATGTTTTGACGCCTACCTTGATTCCAGTGTGTGGAAGTTAGGGTGATCCAGTGAACAAGACAAAGATACCCCACGCCCGATGGAGCTTACATCTAGCTAGAGGAGACAGATGTACATGGAAGTTAGGTGTCAGGTTAACAGAAATCAGGTGTGGTGTGAAGGGACAGCAGTATATAGCACACTGGTGCCATGTTGGAGAATTTAGCTTTCAGTCTGAGCAGGTGGAATTTGTAGCAAATTAACAGGAAAAAGTTAAGGATACTGGAGAAGATGGTCCCCAAGGCCAGGGAACACTTAGTACAAAAATCTCAATGCAGGAACTCTATGCCTGGGCCAGTATAAAGGCAGTAAGTAGTAGAGGATCCAAAGCATAAGAGGACCTGAGAGATCACTTCCTGTAGGTGTTATTAGGATACAATGAATTGTGGTTCCCTCCAAACCCATATGTTTAATTCCTAATGAATTTGGAAATACAATCACTGAACAGATGATATGATGAATTCACGCTGGGCTTACACTGAGAAGTGACTAGGTGAGTTTAGATACATGCAGACATGCCCAGGGAGACTGCTATATGGTGATGAGCCCATTAGTTCTTAGGTGATGCTTCTATGAGACAATGGATGCCAGTGGTTACCTGCAAGCCATACGTGACAGTGGAGAGGCATGGGAACACCTACCATCACAGCCAGCAGAAGAGAACCTGTACATACCGTCATCCTGGACTTTGGATTCTAGAATAGCAGGGCAATATATTTCCATTGTTTACAGCAACCAGTCTATATGGTCCTTTACATTATCTCTCCTCTCCCCCAAGAATGAATACATAGGATATTGTAAGGACTCCAGCTGTTAGTTTGGGTGAGATGGGCTCTGACTTATCCTAATACAGTGAATCCCAGCTTGTGGGTTGTGATCCCTTTGGAGGTCAAATGACCCTTTCACAGGGGTTGCCTAAAACTATCTGGATATCAGATATTTACATTATTGATTCATGCCAGAAGAACAATTGTAGTTATGAAGTAGCAACAGAAATAATTTTACAGTTAGGCTCACTACAACATGGGGGATTGTGTTAAGGGGTCATAGCATTAGCAAGGTTGAGAACCATTTCTTTAGGAGGATATTTCTAGATGCCATCCAGGCAATCCATGTGTAGGGGACAAAGGTGCAATGTTGAAGTCATATGTATAAGCCAGAGATGCTGTTGGCTAGGATAGGAACAGTACATGGGGATCAGTGGTTGTTTTTAGGTTACTTTGGGACAAGAGCAGACAGGATTCTCTGATGGGCTATTTGCCAAGCAGAAGACATAAGAGAGACAGTAAGGTTCGATGCTAGAAGTCATGGAAGGCTGAGTTGATATCCACTGAGATGGAGAAGGCTATGCTTGTTGTAGGTTTTCATTTCATCCTTAATGAGTGGAGGTCAGAGTTTGTTTTGGACACGTGAAGTCTAAGATCCCTAATGAAAGCTCAGAGAAAGTATCAGCAAACAGAAGCTCTTTAATGCTCCCGATATGCTATCCCCATAAAAACCCACCCGGTGAAGGAAAGGAGAGGGCACAGAGCTAATGCTGTTGACTCTGACAGCAGGTATTGATGGCATTTTGGCATTTGAAGACCACACTAACACTGCAGAATTCTGCAATGGTGCAAGAAGGGCTCCCTTTAGAAATTTCTGTTTTCAAGGCTGATCTGCATTATTTATGCTGTCTGTGTATGAGAACTGTCTGGATGAGTCTAGAGAGAGCAATTAGTCATAGAAGTGCCTATGATGCTCTTCTTTACCATGATGGACAACTGTTCCTGGTGAGCCAACTTGTTTCTTTCATACACATTGTTCCACTCGCTTACATCTTTATTTACCTATAGCTAAGTATGAAAAATATTTTTATTTGATGTTCTCATTTTCCTGGGGGTGGGGTCAAATCTTGTGACTATTGGTCCCATAAACAATTTCCTTGAGACATTTTAAAGTTTATTAGAATGCAAGTGAAAAGTGATTCCAGCATAATGGTTTAAGAATTAAGGAGCTTTAGAGCTATTTTGATTTTTTACAGACAGTGTCTCCTAGTGCCAACCACTTTTACCAATATTTTGAGCACTGCTTTCTTGTGGGCGATAGTAGAGGCAGCAGATAAGAGGGAACTGGAGAGCCAGTGGCACACAGGAGCTGTGAGGGGCAGGCAGGCAGCTGGGGTGGAGGCTGGAGGGTGGAGGTGTGTGGGGAAGCTGTGAGGGGAAGGAGGTGTGAGGAACAAGACAAGGTGATAGAAAATATTCTAGGGCATATAGGAGAAAAAGTATCGAGGTGGGATTGAGGGAGGAGAGGTGTTTAGATGGGGTTAAGTAAGAACAAGTGGAGAGGTGGAGTTGAGGGAAGGGGTTTTGCATAATGATGATATAACTTAATGGGTTGGATGTCTCATTTGTCTAATTGGTTTGATGATGACGGGAATGTTGCTTTATGATGAAGATGAATGCAGCAAGTACTGTTAGAGCTTTTTGGTCCTAGGTATGACGTGTGACTTATCATTAGTAGATATTTTTGCTGGGGGAGTCTGGTGGGCATCTCATGCTATTGCTTTGTGAACTTGGTATATCCTCCATCTTCTACTCAAACTTTTCTGGACACCTGAATTTGTTTTTTGAGGTGAAATGACACACACATAGTATTGTTATCTGTCATACTTACCTGAAGTAAGTATGTAGTAGATTTGGCTGTTTCACAGACTTTCAAGCCTAGGTCACAAGAGTCAGTCCTTTACCTACTGTGCTTTGTCTACAATGCATAAAGGTGATGGGACATGCATTCTAAGCCCACCTATCTTATAGAATTCATTCCCATTCCTGGTAAGCAATAAATGACTTCTGTATCTGCTGCATGGGTCCCTGAGATATTCTAAAGTCATTATAATGGAAGGAATCATTAAAAATTTACAGTGAAGGGTAAGAGGTGTATGGGCACTGGCTTCTTTTTTTCTGGGCAGCACCAAACTTACTCCTTTTAAAACTGTCATGTGCTGTTGATTTTACCCTTTGCAACCAGAAGCACTTGGATTCTCCTGTTAAGAGTGAATCCTCAATCACTATCAGAGCTTGGATTCCTTATTTTTTCGTTGCAAATGCCTCTGACACTTCAGTGGCCACACCAAAGCTCCCTAGGAAGTTCACAGCATTGGTACTTCACAGATAGGGAAATGTGCTCAGTAATAGAGCTTGACCAGGTGGCAGGGCACTTGGAGCCAGAACAATTCAAAGCACACTCCAACCATCTTCCATTTCTCCACTGCATGGTAAGACCTGACTGAGCAGACAAGGATGGAGGAGAGCAATCAAAACAAAGGAAACTCATGAAGGATGTAGCTTGACCCAGCTCTTCTACTAAGTAGAAAAATGTAAAAAGTCATGCGAGTTCCCAGCTTACAGATTTGCTTCTAATTGTGAAAGAAAAACACACTGAGAAACACTGACAGATGACTGTGCAGGGACTATAAAAGGAGAACTCACTGACTGGCAGGTAAATAGGTATTGAATGACTAGGAGGCCTTGAGGATATTTCCTTGATATAAAACAAACAAGAAAATAGCTTTCTGAAGGAAGAGAAATGTACTTACTAGTTAGGTGAAATGGCTCATGCCTATAATGTAACACTTGGGAGGCTGAGACAGGAGGATGGCCATGAATTTGAAGGTAACTTAGGCTACATAATAAATTCTAGGTCAGACTGAGATACCGAGTGGGACCCTGTCTTAAAGGCAAGCAAGCAAACAAACAGTAATTAATATGCTGGTGGAAGCAGGTCGAAGGCAAGAGAGTTCTAAATAAAGAGGGAAGTCCATATGCCCTTAAAGATTAATTTAGTTGGGCGGAAGGCTAGACACTGGGTACCAACAGGTAGGTAGCAAGGAAAGTTGAAAAGACAACAGAAAACTCAGATAATACACGAGGATGGTGTGTGTGTGTGTGTGTGTGTGTGTGTGTGTGTGTGTGTGCGCGCACATGTCTTCTTTGTAATCTGCCAAGGATTTTAATTTTATCCTGATTGCAGTGGGGGATTTGTGAGTTTAAACTGGAAATTACAAAGTAAAGGCTTGGCTGGAATGAGGAAGGATCTAAGAGGCAAAGACAAAATGACCACCGAAGTGTTCACAAGCTTCTATAGAAACAGAACATGTATAATATAGATAAATGTATGTGAATAAGAATAAACAGTTGAGCCAGCCATAGTATATCATAGTACATCATAATATATCATATATCTACATGCACACATTCCTCTTGTGGATTCCTTGAGGGTTGAACTGGATTCAGTCACTATGACTGACATTCTTTCTCCCTGTGACCTCCTAGGCTTCTCTGGCTCACTGCATGTCCCTGGCAACGCACCGTGTTTTCTTCATTCCCCATTTCTGTAGGAAGCATCTATCTTTCAGGACAAATGGTGAGTCAGAGCTTGTCAAGTAATTGAATGGAAATAGAGCCTAATAGAATGACAATAAATGATCAAAGGCAGCAAAAAAAAAAGTGAATTTAAGGGCCTAATCATGGAAGACACGGGTCCTGAGATCAAATACATTTTAGAACCCCAAATAAAAATATGAATCAGACCTTAATCAAGGCTATTATGTTGGATGTTCTGCCTTGATAAGTCTAATAATAGCAGACATTGAGTGCTGCCACCAGGAAGTCTTCTGAGCATTTAAAAAAGGTTTATTTGAGCATCACAAAATCTTCTGAAGTGTACAATCATCATCATCATCACCATCAGCACCATCTTTTACATTGAAGAAACTGAATCACAAATGTGTTAGTCAAGTTACAAGGTCACTCAACTTGAAGTGGTGGATTTGTGACTCTGAAGGAGTCTTGTTTTTGTGCACACCCCTTCACTTATTCTTGCCTCCTTCGTGGTTACAGTTCTTCAGAGTCAAGAGGAGTGCGACTTACATGCTAGTAGCCAGAGTAACACCTTTTTATGCACAATGATGGGTGTTCCCTCTGTGCTGTAGTTTATTTGTCACAAAACTGTGTAGAAGCAGTGGCCTAGGTTTTACTACAGAGGAATCTTGGATAATTAAGAAAATCTGTGCAAAAAGCAGATCTACGTCCCTGCAGCGAGTGAGAGGCTTCATGGTATGTTTAGTCAGCTTCTGACACATGACTTGTGTTGATGCAGAAACAGCTCTTACCTCATCTGGAGTAAGAAACAGTTTGTCCTGGAGCCAGAGTATGAGTGACTATAGCCCAGGAACACAGGATCAGATTACACCCAATGCCACATCCCCATGTTGTAACCATTTAATGAAGACAGTGTAATTTTACAGTTACAGAACAAAAGAAAATCTTAAATCAAGGCACTGCTCAAATATATGGGTGGAACCATCAGGTAGGCATGTTATAGCAAAGCAGGAAATCTCTGCTGTAGACTCCAGAAGGTGTGTGGTGGCATTCTTAGACTTTGGAATAATGGAAGCTAGGGGTCTAATAATAGATTCTTAAACTAGTTATCTAATAGTCATAGTGTAGATGTAACCAACCGTCTTATTAAATAAGAAACACAGAAACAATGTAAAAGAGAAAGCCGAGAGGTCAGAGCTCAGAGCTAAAATCTCA